GTAAGGAATGAATGTAAGTGGAAGTCAGAGACGCTCAGAGAAGGGTGGTGGCGAACTTTAACACAGAGGCATCAGACTGACACCCCCGGAACCAACAACGGAGCTAGAACGACGGGGCCCCTGTGCCACGGTGCGCCTTGTGGTGGGAGGATGCGCTGGGAGGTGAGGTTTCCTTCTCCCCCAGGTTCAACCTGAATCTCGTCGAACCAGCTTCTAGGAGATAATGAAACAAGTTAAATACACGAAGGGAAGGCAAAAAGGGCAAATCCCAAATGCTGGTCATTTCACAGGACAAATCCCCGAGTTTCCACAACAAATCAGCGTTCGGATAAAAGAGGAGGATTATTACAAAATAAAAAACACTTAAAGATACAACCAAATGCTGTGGGTGGACCTTGTTTGGATTCTGATGAGAAGAAATGAACTGTCCAGGGACAGCTTTGAGACAACGGGGAAACTCTGAAAATGGCCCAGTATTACATGATAATTAAAAAATATAGTTGGGTGTGATAATGGCATTTAGTGATGTTCTAAAATGTTATCATTTAAAAATGCAAACTAAAAATTTTTGCAGGCAAAGTGTCTGACACAGTGTCTGAAATGCCCCTGAAAAGGAACGAGCAGAAGCGAGGGCAAGGGGCCAAACGAGCGAGCAGGGTGCACTGCTGCTAACCGCGGGAGCCCAGTGCTGGGCACCTGGCGCTTCGCAACGGTAGTCTCTGTATTTGGGGGTGTGCTTGGAATGTTACCACGTGGAGTTTATTATTGCTCGGGAATTAAAGATTCCCTTCCATGGGTAACTCCCCTAACGAACCCTTTGGAAAGGCATTTGAATGTCAAAACTGTTTTCATATCCTAAAATCCATTTTTTCCTCTCAAAACCCAAAAAGGCATGGGTGGTTTCTTCTCCGACCACATTACCCTCTCCTGTGATGGCGTAATGAGGCACGCAGAGTAAATGGAACTCCATTTGCTGCTCTGGCTGCTCCGACACCATTAAAAGATCCTTAAAAGCATCACTCATCTATTAAGTGAAAGAAAACTGTTGTCATTAAATTAAGGGAAAACAACTCTTTTTCCACTCGGGAGTTTCTCGTGTTGTAAAATAGTCTATTTAGATAATGGAAAATATAATGAAAGTGTTGAAGCAAAAATGGTTGTACTGCCTTGGCCAGGTGGTTCAGTGGGTTGAAGCATCATCCCCACACCCAGAGGTCATGGGTTCGATCCCTGGTTGGGGCATGTACAAGAGGCAACTGATCGATGTTTCTCTCTCTCTCTGCCCCCCACCCCGTACCTCTCTCTAAAATCAATAAACATATCCTCGGGTGAGGATTAAAACATTTTAAAAAAATTTAAATGGTTGCACTTTGTTGTAGCATATTTCTAGAATAAAATGATTGCTCTTAGAATATTGACAACTTTGTTCTTGGTTACCTGAAAGAAAATGGCTTCAGATTAAGAATTCAAATTTCCTGAACCCAAAAGTAGTCTAATTAATTTGAGTGCATTTGTGAGTGCATTTCAAGTCAATACTACATAGATCTGTGCAGTGATTGAATTTTTCTAGACTATGTGGCTTCACTGCTTTCAAGCTAAATTTGGCTACTTCACTCACTCCAGGGTGACTAAGTGACACCCGCCCCTCAATTCCTTCGGCCATCATTCCTTCAGATGTCTAGCTCCAGTCCAGAAGACAAAGGCCACAATATTAGTTTAGATCCCTTTTAGGAATTCTGTGAGTAACGTTTCCAACTTTTTAAAAAAGTCGTAGGCAATGGCCTACCAGCTGCTTTTACCACTTTCCTATGAAATGTTAAGAGCCATTAAAATCCAGATTTAAAAACAAGGTTTCTCAAAATGTGTTCTGGAAATACCAGCATCAGGATTAACTGGTGTGTTGAGAATACAGATTCCTGGGCCCCCTCTCAAGTTCACTAAATCAGACTCTCCAGTGATGGAGTCTAAAATTCTGCACTGTTAGCAAGCATGCCAGGTGCTTCTTCCACACTGCAGTTTGACAGCCGAGTTCTCAATAATGTGGGGTTTCTCTCAAATCTAGGAGAAAAACAGAGAATCCCCCTGGCTGGTGTGGCTCACTTGGTTGGACATCATTTGCAAAAAGGTTGCACGTCAATTCCTGGTCAGGGGACGTGCCTGGGTTGTGGGTTCAGTCCCGGGTGGCGGTGAGTACAAGAGGCAACCAATGGATGTTTCTCTCTACCATCGATGTTCCTCTCCCTTTTTCTCCCTCCCTTACCTTCTCTCTAAAAATAAAATCTTTTTTAAAAAGTAAAGGATAAACAAATAGCATCAGTAAACAGCCAGCCAGCATGTGTAATTCTCTATAGGACAACAAACACGGTTTCTTTAAAAAATCAAAGGCATAGCCACCAACTGATAAACGGATGAACAAAACTCAGTACATCCAACCAATGAAACACCATTTGGCCATGAAAAGACATGGCAGCCCAGCACTGCATAGTGCTACTCATCTGTTGGGCATCAAAAATATTATGCTGTTTAAAAAGCCAGGCAACGCCCCCCACCCCCCCCAAAAACACATGTTGTGTAATTCCACTTATATGAATTGTCCAGAATAGGCAAATCCATAGAGATAAAGGGGATTAGTGGTTGCTAGAGGTGAGGGAAGGGAATGGGAGGTGACTGTTAATGGGTCGGTTTCTTTTTCAAGTGATGGAATGTTCTGGAATTAGATAATGGTGATGATTGCTACTCCGTAAATATACCAAAAACCACTGACGTGTGCGCTTTAAAGGGGTCAGTTTTATAGTGTCTGAACTGTATCTCAGAAACTGTTAAGGAAATTAAGGTGCTAGATGAAAAAGGAGGGCACCATTTTCTGGACTGAGAGAGGCTTAAAAAAAAAACCTCAGGAGGCATAACTAAATACAATGAGGAAAACCTTGTTTGAATCTGTATTCAGACTGTAAAATAGGCATTTTAGACAATGGGGGAAGCTGAGTATGGATTTGAAATTATTTTATTTTCTTAGCAACCCTACTGGCATTGTTGCCAGGTATGGTAGTCTTTTCTATTGAGATGAATGCTGAAACATTTAACAGTAAAATATGTTTTGTTGCATTTTCTTTAAAATATTATACTTTGACAAAAAAAGACAGCTAGATGAAACAAGCATTCAAATGTTTTCAGTTGATGTTGACTCAAAGATAAAGACACAGGGACTTACTGAATTCTATCTTTATGCATGTTTTGTAATTTTCATAAGTTTTAAAAATACAGAAGCTTGGGGTTTCCTATTTTAATTTGATTGCAAAATTTCTATTACATCTGAAGTGTTAGGGTGAGACTGAAGGGCCTAACACTTAGAGGCAGGTCCTTACTTTGTTGTATGTCAGCAGGAAAAGGTCAGAGAGAGAATTTATACTTGCATTAACTTGGAAAAATTAATGGACAGAGTAGAAAGGCATTGGGCTCAAAGTTCCTGTTGTTTTTTAAGAAAACTTCACATTCCTTCCTCAAAGCCACTTGAAGTAGGATGAAATTATTAACTATTCAGTTGAGCCCTGGCTGGTGTGGCTCAGTGGGTGAAGCCATCCTCCTGTAACCTAAAGGCTGCTGGTCTGGGTCTGGGAGCAGGCACGGGCACTCACAGCCCCCGTCCAGAACATCCCTCCAGAACATCCAGTTCCCAGCAGATCCCTGGTGTGGGTGCTGACAAAGGCAGCCAATTGACGTTTCTCTCTCCCTTCCTCTCTAAAAAAATGTTCTCAGGTAAGGATAAAAAAAATTCAGTTGATACTTAAAGAAATTTAACATCAAAATAAATGGTTACTTTTGATATATGTTGTGCTGGAATTAACATTTTATTGTGGACCTCCTATGGAGGGCTTCAGAACCAAACTCATAATTTTATATATATAAAACGCCTAATGCAAAATCTCTCATCAGGGAATTAACTCAAATTATCAGATCTTTCTTAGGGGAGTGCACATGCTGTTTTCAGTCACTCATTTCAGTACTACAGTGAAGTGTGGCCTATCTGCTTCATAATGAGAACCCCATTTTCTTCTCCAATGTCATGGAGCGATACTGACAATCCTCTCACCACATAACTAGGACGAGAAAAAGTTGTTTTTGAGTTTAAGCATACTAAATGGCCTTGACTAGGAAATACTGTGTAGGTATCTAAAATCTTGCACACATGAAAGTTTAAGATCATTCTTTTTAGGTCATTGATATGGAGGTGCTTGGTTGTAGTGCCCTCTTTATAAAGATCCATGGAGGAAAGTTCTCAGGATGGTTTCTCATAAGCGCCTAATTTCTATTTGATTTTTGCACTGAGTGTGAAACAGCTCAGAGCAAAATTTTTTTTTTTAACCTCGAGCAAACATACAGAACCTAACGGACTGTATTTTGTGTGCTAGCCCCAGACTTTTACTCAAATCTACGTCCTTAAGATCTCCTTGTAATATGTTCTGGTAAAATACAAATTCTTTCTGAACTAAAATAGGGTATAAACAATGAATAAACTACATGAATAAATGACAAATCATAATTATAATACTATAGTCACAGCATCTCAGGTCCTTCAGGTCTTCTGATTTTGGTTCTTCCCTGGGCAGCCCTGTCTGAAATTACACCCTCCACTTCCAGTGCATACAGGCACTTCCTGTTTCTCCCTCTAACACATTTGTTGAATAAACTACCCAAAGAGCAAGGCTGGATTTTACAGAACATGGAAAATATATATATATATAGTTTAGGAAAAGAGGCTAGAACAATGTTATGTATTCAGCATTAAGAATGACTCCACCCTGGCTGGTGTGGCTCAGTGGATTGAGTGCTGGCCCACCCTTGAACCAAAGGTTTTGGGTTGGATTCCCAGTCAGGCACCTGCCTGGGGGCTTGTGAGAGGCAACCCATCATGATCTCTACCTCTTTCTCCCTCCCCTCTCTAAAAATAAATAAAATCTTTAACAAAAGAAAATGACTCCAAGATGAATATTAAATTCCTTTATTTAAGATTTCAGGAAAATGGGATATTTGTAGACACTGAGCTGGACAACAGAAAGAATTTCTAGCACATACTAGGTTGTTCTTTCACAGCACATATTGCTGCAGTCACATTTTCTCCCCATATGAAAACTTTCCCCATTACCTACAGTGCTTTCCTATCCTAACAGTCTAACACCACTGGATCCTTTAATCCCTTCTTACATTATGCTACTAAAAAAAATAATAAAAAATTAAAAATCCCCAAATGCTGACAAATGTTCCCATTGTGCCAAATTTTGGAAACTTCTGTAGGTTCATTATACTGTGAAGAACTTACATTATTAAATAACTCTAGTGTCGCCCCCCAGCCCCCAAACTGGCCTCGTCTGTTTAAATATTTGTTACACCAGGACACTAAACCTCAACAGAGAAATGACTTTGAAGAGGCCACATCTCTTCCTGCTGAACACTCAGAGTGGTGTGGACAGGTGCACCCCTAAATCACCCACCACCCAGGAAAACACGCTGAGTCTTCAAAAAAAGTTCACTAAAGCTGAACATAGCCTCTCACCACGCCACCTGGCACACTGACACAGATGGGTTCCTAGAACACTCACCTAGCTGGGGAAGCCTGTCCTTCAAGAGGCACACCCTCCAGATGATGATTCTGGGGATTTTGGGGGTCCCTCCCCCCACCAAAAGCATACGTGATTGTGTCTCAGGCCACTACCTAACCTGATGCTTTACCTGTAAAATAAGAATAGTTTCTATAGACTTCAGGGCTGTGAGGATGAAATGGAGAGATGAAATCAGTGCAGCCGCCGCACCACTCTTTCCCCACCAGCACCGTGGACCACACTGACTCCTGGGCAGGTGCAGGGGCGCATGATTGCTACTAAGTTATATAATAATACCTGACCTCATTACAGGCACACGTGCATTGTAAGCTGTAGCGTGAAAGTTGTTAAGTCAAAATACCAGCATCACAGCATTCCAGCGTCAAAGGCTTGAACCTGTAGTTTCAATCTACAAAAAGAAAAGTTTTGAATAACTAAACAGAAAGAAACCTCTGAGGTATATTCTTCTCAGTTTGTTTCAAATGATGTTCAGAAAAAGCCTCGTGTATGCATATTCCATCATCTGGATTTTTTGCATCTTCAAAGATTTGAAGTATGCAAACTCCCTTATGTACTTGAAAATACTATGTGGTATCCCTAAAGTTTAAAAACCATGCTCGAAGGTATTATCTAAAACAGGGTTAAATTTATCACTTCGCTATTAACTGTGTTCAAATATCACAAAGATGCTGCAACCGAAAGGAAATTTTCGTGTTTCAGCTGTGACTCCAGACAGGATCCAAAGAGGAGTTTTACCATCTCGTCTCTGGGTTTTATGGAGACTTACTTTACCCTTCTGTGTTAGCCTCCTAAGGCACTGCATCAACCTTACAAGGGCACAGGAAAGGGCGACCTGTAATTTTTTAAAAGGTTCTCTACAGTTGCCTTACCTAGTCCGAAACCCATTGGAGGTAGTTGTTCTGCCCAGTGGAACCCGGGCATGTCAGTTTCCCTTACATTACAGGAAAGCCAGCTTCCGGCCTTTGCTCCGATCCCACGCCCAGGAGCCCTCCGGCCGCCATTGCCACGTGCTCTGGGCCCGTGTCCTTTCATTTCGTGCCCGGGGACTTACCTGCGCTTAGAACTCAGGCCGCTGCACCCCCGCAGACGCTGGAGACAAACTTCCCAGGCCCAAGGTCCGTCTGTGACAGGCCCTCTCCCCCTGCATGCGGAATAGAACCGGAGCCCCATCCTGCTACAAATTAGCGGCGGCTGCGCCCTGGGGAAGCAAAGCGCAAATTTGTGACTGTGCTGGGCCTGCCCGCGGGAACCATCCAAGCTGCCAAGCGCGATGTCTGTGCCTCGTGCGGCCGCGAGACGGGCACAGCCGCCCGTCCCCCGGGTCGCCAAGGGCTGCTCTACCCCTCCATTCTGGCCGCCGGGAACAGAGGAGCTCCCGGCGGGCAAAGCTCAAGGGGACGCCGGACAAGTACAGGCCCACCAGAGCCCGCAGGCCCTTCGGGTCAGGGACCAGAGGCCAGAGGTACACTCACCGTGCAGCTGCACGCGGCTAAGAGGCCCGTGATCCGAGTGCACCACAGCCCTGGTTCCGCGGCTCGGGGCGGGGCAGAGGGCGGTGGTGGGCAGCCAATCCCCGGGAAGGCTCTGGGGCGGAGCGAGCTAGGCCATTGGTCCCCGCGGCCCTCCGTCCGCCCGGCTTCTTGCTGTTTCCGAGGGGGCAGGACCAGCCCAGCTGATCTGTGCATTGTTCTGGGAACTTTGAGAACCCTGGTGCCTCCCCAAGCATAGGCCCCGTGGTTCTGGTTCTGGCTTAGGCCCTCGTGGTTCTGGTTCTGGAAGGCCAAAGTGCCTTTCTCGAGACTCTTCTGCGGAGGCCCTAGCCGTGGGCTGGGCCACGACCCAGAAATTTCCTTTCCTACAACTACATTAATCCATTATGTGATTTGATTCTGCCCTGCGAAACCATAAGCTTAAAGAGAGGCCAGAACCACTTCTCTTTCAAGTGCAACCCAGGACTCCTCCTAAACTTGGGAGGACCAGGCTCCCTTCCTCCTGCTATTCCCTCGTTTACAGTGTCGAAAAGTAGGGTGTAATCAGTCAGGGGTGGGCCGCTGTAAGCGTTTCCTTAGGTGACACTCAAACGTGGCAAACAAGTGAAATAAAAGTGGAATATATGTGAAATTGAGAAGTCCTATTACTGTTTCAAGGATTTGCTATCTGTTAACAAATTTAATCCTCAAATACTTTTTATCATCCCCACATTATAGGTGGGGGAACTGAGACACACTGAGTAACTTTCCAAGGTCACAGAGCAGGAAGCAAGTGGTGGATCTGGGATTTGAAAAACAGAGTGAAGGTATAGCCCCTCAGAACACTATGTACTACATACACTACCTCTCACCAGGTGTGGGGGTGGGTCCGGAAGAAAAATAAACAAATGGCCTACATATTATTAGTTGATTAAGATCATCTTTTCAGGTGGCACAAAAACTTTTGGTAGAGCTCGGACATGGAACTGGAAGGCATTGGACCTGTTTAAGGACCCAGAAGTGGAGATGGAACTTAAGGCTATAGGAGCAGAGTGGCCTGAGAAGAGGGGAGCTTGGGGACCAGACGGTGCAGGAGACCTTGATAGAGTTTGTCTTTTATGCTAAGGACAATGGAAAACTTGAATTTTTTTTTTTTTCAGGAAATGATAGGACTTTAGATAGGGTGTGGTTGGGGATGTGATGGAGATGATTTTGGTAGAGAAAAGAAATGAAATAAAATGTATCAATACATTCTAGCACTCAGCCACTGCTGTGCAGACGTGGTCCTCTTCTTTTTTACTGTCTTGCATAAACACACCTTAATCCTTGTATGTCTCCCAGACTTTCTTTTAATCCACTTTTTTTCCTCTCGAGTAGGAAAATCCTAGTAATAAACCTGCGGTCTTGCCCTGTCCCCTTCCATTCTGTCTGTGCAGTACACCCTGGCTCATTCATGGTTGATAAATGTCAGAAGGGAGCTAGACGCCCATGCACGAAGGAAGAAGGAAGGAGTGGTACATTCTAAAAGTAAAGTGGAGTTAGCCAAAACCTAGAAAACGGATGTATTTCTTTGTAATAGCATGCTCCCTCAAGAGGTGAGGGTAAGGGGGTAGGTGGGTTCTATCCCCCCAGTCTTGTAGCTTTTGGTGGCTACCAGCTTTCCTCAGCTTGAAGTCACATCACTCCAGTCTTCAAAGCCAACATTGTGTATGGAATCTCCTCTGCCTCCTTCTTCTAAAGTCACCTGTAATTCAATTTAGAGGCCAAAGAGATTGTCTAAAATGGTCTTCCCATCTCAAGATCCTTAACCTAATCACATCTGCAAAGACCTTTTTTCAACCAAGGTACCATTTACAGGTTTAAGATTAGGACCTGATGTCTTTGGGAGCCAGTATTCAGCCTACTATACCATCTCTAGATTTCCACCGATTTTCCTTCTGTAAAACAAGGTGGCTGCACCTTATCATCTCTAGAACAATACAGCCAATAAAAACTTTCTGCGGTAATGGAAATGTTCTATTATCTGTTGTCTGGGGCAGCAGCCCTTAGCCACACATGGCTATTGAGCCACTTGAAGTGTAGCTAATGCAACTGAACAGCTGATTTTTTTACTTTTAATGTAAACAGCCACATGTGACTAATAGTTGTTATACTGAACAGTGCAGTTCTAGTATCTTTGTAATTCTAAATCCTGAAGTCTGTGAAGCACCTTTAAAGAAAATAAGTTCCCTGTTCTTCCCTGCAGTGTTTCACTCCCTGGCTACGAAACTGCGCACAATGTTCACCTGCTATCCTTCAGTCTTGTGGACTTCAAACTGGGCAACAGCGTTCTTACAAAAAAAAAAATTTGGAAGACCAAAGTGTAAACAGAGCTGCACTGATGAAGTTGGGGGGTGGGGGAGGGAGGAGGGTCTGTGGCAGACTCAGGGTCCCCACCCGTTCTCTGAGCCCAAGCAACCCCTCAAGGCGCAAAGGGCTACCACCAGGACTCAGTGGAATGGAGACATTTGTGAAACCAGTGGTTATTCTTGGAAATTTGCTGGAGCCTAGAGTTTTAGACTTTAACACACATAGTTTTACATCTTTCATCTTGGCAATAGCTAGAAAATACTGCCATTTTCTTGGCCAGTTTCACCTTCACTAGACCACTATTGACGTGGTATTTTATGCTTTCCTTGTTCTGCCAGAACTTGCAGTTTGTAGCCTGCTGAGGCTTTAGGACTGTTTTCTCTCGATTTTGTCATCCCTTTATCTACTTAGCATTTCACTGCACCTCACAAAGGCTTTTCATCCTGCCGATACCCTCCTCTCCTCTCTCACTTTGCTGTTGCTCAGGTGGGAAGCCGCCGCAGGGACCTTCGCCCTGGAGGCCGCTATCAGTGGATCCGTGCAACTGCACACACTCGTTTCCGTCTGCTGTGCTCACAACACTGAGAACAGTGCTTGGCCCATAGTAGGTGCTCCGTTATTCACTGAACATTAACACCACCAGCATTTTAGTAGTGCATAAATACTAAGCACCAGTGTTGCCATTTTGTTCTAGTATCACAAGGACCATACAGTATCATAAAATCGATCCTATCGTACCACCAACGAATATGACACTGAGTGCTTACTACTGACCAGGTAATTAGATGTACTATATACAAACTCAACTTTAGTAACTCTAATGATTACCAAATTACAGATAAACTGAAGCTAAGAAGTAACTGGTCTGAGATCCCATGGAAGTGTGGGGATTTGAACCCAGGCGCTTATGCTGCTGCTCCTAGGAACAGGTGGCTGGAAGCCACTCTCTTGAATGCCATATGCCAATCAACTCATTGCAATGATTGATATTAAGTGTTATTATAAATGATAGTGTTCCTTGTATTATAGTCATGGGGGTTTATGGCTTAACTTAGTCATTTGAGAACCTGTAATATGCCAGGCACTCAGCTAGACACTAGGAACATGGTGGGAACCATGATGGACTTCTCCTGTCGGGGTGCAGAGCCTGCGGAATGGAGGGGCAGGACAGTCAGGTGAGTAAAGAAGAAGACGCTGAACATTCTTGTATGACAAGGCCATCACAGGGTGCTCCAGAAATCCAGGACTGAAGCACTTGTGTCTGGCAGCGGGGCCGGGGCGTATGGAGAATGTAGGAAGGCATGATAGTAGTTACGGTAAAGTAACCACTTTGGGAAAACGTATGGGCGGTAGGGCGAGGTTTAGGTATAGGTCACAGCATTCAGAGGCCTGAGAGGCTAAAAAGCAAGCTGCTGTTTCCAGAACAGCCTGAAATGTCCACCTAGCCCTGCATACAAACTTACGACATCCTTCCCGCAAGGTCACTTCTCCGCAGCTTCACTTTGCTTCCCCCAACCTTTGAACACATCCTCCTGAGCACTTGCTTTCCCTCTGCCTGAAATGCACTACGCCTGTTTGTTGGGGGCGGGGGGGGGGAGGGCAAAAGTAGATTGTTTTTTTAAAGATTTTATTTATTTATTTATTTTAGAGAGACGGGAAAGGAGTGAGAAAAAGGAGAGAAACATCAACCACAGGTCCTGCAACCCAAGCGTGTGCCCTGACCGGGAACCCAACCAGTGGCTGTTCGGTCCGCAGGCTGGTGCTCAATCCACTGAGCCACACCAGTCAGGGAGGGCAAAAGGAGATGTACAGTTATGAGTATGTGAACTAGACTTTATTCTTGTATTATCATTTATCAGTTATTGTATTATTTATCTGCATTATTGCCACATGAACAACTTTAAACCTACTTTTGCCCACCCCTGCATACTTGATTGACCCAGTGAAACTGATTTCGGACTTTTGGCCTCCAGAAGTGTAAGAAAATAAATTTCTGTTGTTCAAGCCGCCAAGTCTAGGGTAATCTGTAACAGCTGCCTCAGGTAACCAGTGTGAATGGAAAGCTTCAGACCACAAATGCAGTTGGAGCTGGAACCTCACCACACCGCACTGCCTCCTACACTGTTTTATTAGTGCTTATGGGTGAGGGAGTAGGGGTAAATCTTATCTGTTCATCAGCCACTTACAAAACACCAAGGTGTGGCAATGAACTTAGAATTCGTTTAGGATTAAAGCATGAAAGGCATGAACACAGGGCTAAAATATGAAGGATTGGCAAAAACTTCAAAATAAAACACAGACTATCAAAACTATAAAAAGTCAACTTATAGTTTACTGGAACGTCAGTTGCTTAGGTATACTTTTAATAAATTTCAATACACAATACAAAACACCATCCAAAGTTCAAGTTGTAAAAATTCAGTGATGGAAACATGACAATAGGAAAAAATTACTCTAACTCCCACAATTTCTGCCGTGTGGGCCATGCAGCTTTAGCCAGCAGTGTCCTAGAGCTAACACCGACCGTTAAAATGAGACAATTTTTCCATAATCAACCTCAATTAGTTTTGGCTCATGTTCTGTGAAATGTAAACTTGAACTTCTGGGACGCTTTTGAAAAGAAGTATTATAACTAATAAAACTAGTTGTCTCAGGGTCACTGCCACAGGGCTCTAACTTGAGTCCAATGTATGGGACTTTTGTCTCTAGATTGCAGCAATACCA